GTATTCAATTTTTAACAATGTATATTTAAAGGTCATTGTCAGAGCCAATGTGCTAAATGTATGTAAAATAAAACTGTTTAAGGTAGATATGTTACTAATACATCTAAAACTAAAAACAATCGATGTTTATATGAAAGATGAAACCGTATGACACACTACCGTGCAATGTCCAGGATCCGGTATCGTAATAAGAAGTAAAATTTCACTTCCAGGCCATTGAAATGTGTTAAATTTTACTTTAGATATTCTTTTTATGAATATAATAAGTAAACAATATAGTAAGCTTCATCTTCTTATTGTGCCGTATTCTAATAAAGGTTGGTGATTACTTCTTTAAACACTTCACATAAATTATTATTGTATAAATTTAACTACTCTATGAAACAAATATTGCACGTCATAAACTACAGTAATTGAAAAACTATAAAGATCTGTTTTCAGAGTTCTCTTTAATCTTATGTAGTTTATTGTAATCCTACCGAAAGGCTTCTACTTTCTTCAACTATTACAAGATAACTCTACTCGATATTCGTACATTTAGAGACTAAATGTTTAAGTGCCCATGCATTTAAAAAAAAATAATATATTAAATGGAAACTAACCTTTTTCAAGTTTATTATAGTTACTTTTTTAAGTTTGAAAATAATTGTAATTAATAAAGTAATTGAAAATAATAAGCTCCAAAATGTACCGGCTATAAAATTTTAAAATCTACTACTAATACTAATATTGGCAACATCGCAGGAGTTTAGAAGTGTACGCGAAAAGTTATATACGGGCCCCAAAAATGTTTTATCCTATTACAGAGTCCACTTGATCCGACGTGTTGGTCGGAGTCTACATAAAGCGCTACTTAGATAATAATATACACGGCGTATATTCTCCTGGAGTTCGTATAATACCCTTTTATTACGGAGCCTACATTAACCGCTAGAAGTATATATATATATATAATATATATTATAATATATATACATATATTATATATATATATATATATATATATATATATATATATATATATATATATATATATATATATATATATATAATATATATATATCTGACATTCGAAATGTCAGTTTTTTGTATGTGTCAACAAATAATCTTTAATAAATAGTTTGGAGATATCCTTATGTGTACAATTATTGTAATTATTGAACCTCTTAACTTATTTTCGTCTAGTAATTTCATTACAGAATGCATACAAATCCCATTTAACTTTAACAAGAATTCAAATTCTACTCTCCAATGACAGCATGCGCGAACACGACCGATTTTGTGATACGGGAAGAGCCTATCTTGTTATTCATAGTATCATGGTTCAATCCATCAAGAATTAGCAGAAACATCTACTTTACCTAGTTGTAGTGTCGATTCGTAAGTAACCCTTTTTACTTTTTTTTTATTTACTTACCGTAAAGTAAGTAAATAGAGGGTTCATGACCTTACATATTATTTGTTTATGGTCAAAATATTACCAATGTTTTACTCTTAAATAATAATAATAACAAATAATATCATTTGCAGAAAATACTTTAAGTTTTATCGTTATTTCTAGTAATAGCTGTCATTCTCAGTCAGTTGAGATTGCCTCTCCGCAAAAACCATCTTTTTCGGTAGAAGACAGAAGAATAGTGGACATAAACTTTTTCATTAAATCTATTCAAGGTTTGAATAATCATTCTCCATTTTCATGCAACTTTTCTAATATGGAGATTATCAAAGAAAAAATGGACGGATTGATAAGTACATTGACTTTTAAATGTTAAATGAGGAATATTGAAAAGGAGATAGCAACATAGGATTCTGGTAACAATTCACTGAACTTGAATGGTTCTGGTTATTCAGACATACAGCAGCAGCACGCTGCATTAAATATACCTGTGATGTCCTACAAACAGTATGCAAAACATACGGAAATAGTTGCAGATATCATCAGCCAAACACTTTGTGATTCCTTAGAAGAGGCTGGACGGGAGGAATTAGCTTTAGCCAAAGAAATTGGTGAAGTAGATTCCGACGGAAATGGGTTAATAACCGTTATAGCTGATGGTGCTTGGTCAAAAAGATCGTATAAAGTAAACTATGATGCTTCTTCAGGTGTAGTACCTGACGTTGTAAAATTTATTAAATTAGTACGCCTTTGATGGATAGGACATGTAATTAGGCGAGATGAAGATGAAAACGATCAGAAAAATTTTCGACCGAAGAGGACCAGTGGGAAAACGATCCAGAGGAAGACCAAAACTTAGGTATCAAGATAACATAGAGGATGATCTAAAATCCATCGGAGTTAAAGCATGGAGAAAGTTGCCAGAGGCAGGGCGAATGGAAGATTGTTCTGAAGAAGCCTTTGGCTCATGACGAGCTGTAATGCCACTGATGATGATGAAATAACTATCCACGATTTGTATTTTATTCATCAATTGGATACTTTTCTTATGTAACTGCAACCTATAAATATATTAAAATAATGTATATTCCATTCAGAGAACTTTTTCCTCGCAGTGCGTCGCCTCGAAATACTTGCCAAATAAATACATTTACTATTATGATGGTTTCGCAGGTACCAATTTTTTATAGATAAATAAAAATATTTTTTGTTTAATTTTTACTACGCTAATATCAGTTTTCTCTAACAAATAAATAATTTATTGAAATAATTTTCAAGCTATAACTGCGAAATTGTTTATTTGTTTGTGACAACAAATTGTAATTTTTTTGATAATAATATTCGTATGTTCTTTTAAATTTATTATAAATAAACACCATGGTGTTTTTTGCAGTCACGTTTCACAAATTTTTATTTAATACTATGTTTAGCTAAGACATATAAATTAAAAATGTGATTAATTCTTTTAAAACATTATCGACGATAATTAATAAAAAAAAAGTATTCCGACAAAACTAATTTGAATGGAGAATAATGCATTTATTATCATTAAACAACCCGTCGGCCGGCGCACTGAATAAACATCCAAACTTTTAAATTCGGTACGGCACGTACGGTCTGACATAAGCAAGTACATATTAGAAAAGTAAGTGATACGCCCACTTCAAATCGCAGTATGCTATAACTGCGAAAACAGCCATTTATGGCAAAGTTACGGTAAGCAGTTAAGTGGATGTTCTGCAATGAGTCATATATTCTTCTGAGCAGTAAAAACAATGTTTTAAAAGATATTTTTTTATAACTTTATCGAAACTATTACAGCTTAGCTCTTTTATACTTTTTGGTAAAATATTGTAATAGTTATAATTAAGACTATTTTTTTCTGAAAGACTTAATCTACAGCGATTTGTTCGTAGGTAGTGACAGTTTCGCGTATTGTGAACATGGACATCAGACTGCTTTATTAAATGGGCACGTTTTCTGTGAATTTGAGTTAAAACTTGAAATATCAACAGAGTAGGTAGCGGCATAATTTTGAATTTGATAAAGAAAGGTCAGCAGTGTTCTAGATAACTACCCTCTGCTAAAATCCTGACAGCTTTCTTTTGTATTCTAAAAATTTGAAGTGCATTTGTTGAATTGCCCCATATAATTAAACCATAGTTTAGGTGAGAGTGGAATAAAGAAAAATATGTCATTTTTAATGTTTCAAAGTTGACAACCCTTGCTAGTTGGCGAATAACAAATAATGAACTTGATAGCTGTTGATAGCTTGATAGAGAGGACTAGGAGAAGAAGAATATCTTGGATTCAAAACCTAAGGAAGTGGTTCAATACTTCTACAACCGGACTACCGTCTACTATTCCGAATAGCTCCAAGTAAAGTTAGGATAGTTATGCTGAACGCCAACATGCGGAACGGATAGGCACCGTAAGAAGAAGAGACAGTTGTATGGAGTATATTAGGGGCTGTATTAGGGGCTAACAGCAGCAAGAGATAATGGATTTTCTGTCATTCAGAATAGCTTTGGAGAGAGTTTCTGATTGGAGGTTTGAGACCTAAAAGAAGTAATAACACAGAAAGTGCAGTCAGCGAAGATGGAGAAAATGAAGAGAGTTTGGGAAATCTTGAGAGGTATTAAATAAGGAGATAGTCTCAGCCTCTTGCTATTCATAATAGTAATGAACGAATAGAAAAACTAAAAATTGAAATTAAAGAGGAAAAAAGTAAGATAATGATAATCAGCGACAAAGAAGATAATGAAATTAAGATAAAATGTAAAAACTCAGAATTGGAAATAGTTACAACTTATGAATACTATAGGAAGTATAATTATTAACGACTGAAAAATAGACTGGGAAATAACAAATAGAGCAAATAAGTCAAACGAGTTATCCTATGCGTTAGCCCCAATACTACAAAAAATAGAACTTACACAAGATAAGGATAAAAATATATAACACAATAGTGATACCGACTGTGCTCTATGCAAGTGAAAACTGCACAATTCTGGAAAAACATAAGAGCAGGATAAATGCAATGGAGAAGCAACGAGACTATTAGGAGAATGGCCAACTAAGAACCAATAATGAATAAAATAGCAAAGAGACAAATGATCTGGTATGGGCATCTTATGAGGATGCAACCCAACAAAATTACAAGAAAAGTCTATGAAGCAAAGAACATTGTAAAAATAAAATGAGGCAGACCAAGAAAAAAATGGATACAGCAAATCGTAGAGGTGGGAAAAGTTAAACAAAAATCAGTCGAGGAATTGAAAATAATGACAGGAAATAGAAAAGAATGGAAGAGATGGGTGAATAGAAATTAAAATAGCTAGCCCAAATCCGACACTTTGATAGGGTAAAGAAAGAAAGATTTAAATTCGACAAATAATTTTTGAAGACAACACTTTTATCTAGCCTTTTTAGTCTCGTGAATTTATATGCAAGAAAATATTTCTCGAAAGAAAGAAAGAAAAAAGAAAGATAGCTTTTAAGTTTGAATTTTTATTATAAATTATTTGTAAGAATGTGCCATATATAATGTTCACTAATGTCTTCACTGAATAAACTGTACTTATTTATTGATGTGCTAACTTACCTGGAGGACTAGAAACTATAGGCAAAGCCTCGGGAACATCTTGACTAGAAGTAACAGTACTATTTGGATTTGGAGACCTATCTAACTTATGTTTTGCACTTTTCTGAGAATATACAGTATCTTGAGTATCTTCTTCTTTGGCGAGATCAGATGAGGTATCAGTTAGACCTCTGATTTTTAATGATTCTGCTGTTTTAAGAAATGTTGAGAGATGAGTTTGAGCTACATTTACTTCTCCAGCATACATAAATTCCATCAAAGCTGTGATATGCCGAGCTTCTACATCTCTCATAAATATGATTGGATGGGGACAAGGGTTGCTCTAAAATGATTCCAAAAAATTTACTTTTTATAATTATATATGATTTAAATATGATTTGAGTTAAATTAAATGACTAATTTTGATAGCAAAATTAAATTTTAACTACAGGAAATACAAGAATACCTTGATATACGTAACAGATTAAACAAAAATGTAACCAAAAAAGAAAGCGTTTCTAAAATATAAAACAGAAAAAACGAATGAATCATTTCAAGATTATAAGAGAGTTAAAACTGAAACTAATCGATTTGTAGTGATAACAAAAATATACTATTGAGATAGATTCATAAAAGGACTAGAGATGGATGAAATGAAAGGACACTTTCATTACTATTTAAAAAAATGAGACAATTTTTATTTGAAAAGAGTTATCACACTGTATAGTGTAGGACTCGATTTTAAAGATATTAAATTATTTAAAAATATCACTACACTAGAAACGCTTTAACATATCATCTGCATTTTCATTACCTTGGAAACCTAATCCACAATTGTTTAAATATTATGGTTTTACTCAATAAAAGTGTGAATATTTCAACAATTAATAACTTGAGGCATATAAAACCTTGCAATACAAACTCTTCATAATTTTAAAAAATATATTCACATCTAAATGCATTAATATACAGGGCGTTCCATTTAAAAAAAAACACAACTTTGATTAATTCTGTTGTTCTGACTGACCCTGTATACTCAAAAATAATTTTAAATTATAGACGTCTTTCTTATAGATTAGTTTTTGTTAAACATTTTTTTAAATACTTCACAGTTTAGCCATAATTAAAGGCCATAGTGCAATCTCACATATAACCATTCTGTCTCAACGATTTTTTTTATGTTTCAATTTTACTCCCACTTATAGGATTCAAATATTAGCATAGTAAGATACATTTTATGAATTATTGTTTGTCATTTTAGGACATCTTATTTAGGATAATGATTTGAGTTCTTCAAATTCAGATTGTGTGTATTGGTTTTCAGTTTAGTCTGCCTTTTAAGTTCATTGGATTTTCGTTGTACTACTACATTTACAAATGTAATATGTTAAGTGATCTCTAGTTGGATGTTAAACAGTGTCTAGGATATATGAAATTTTTCAAATCTAAGAAATTTGTCATTAGTCACAAACATAGCGAACAGCAAATGAATTTTTATTCCTTAGTTGCCATATAGCGAATGACAAATGAATTTTTATCCCTTAGTTGTAGGGTCTGTTGTTAGAATTTTTCAATGCAAAAGTTTGCACCAACTGGTCTTAACAGATTTCCAATTGGCATCCGTCTGTTAGTAAAATCCACTATTTCACTGGAAATATATTGTGATAAGACAGTGGCAGAAGAGGATCATATCTTCTGCGAACTGTGGATTAATAACACTATAATAGACAGTGGAAGTGTATAAAACAAACGAAGTATATCAAGAGGATCTAGAATATTGTTTAGGTAGAGTTAAAGGAACTTCATCATGAATTTCAACAGGAAAGTGCCTGGGTCCTTCAAAGTGCAAATCAAAGAACAGAAGTCAAACGAAAATTTATTCTCACCAAAAGATCAGGTGAGTGAGATGAAATTGTTAAAGCTCTGATTGAATATAATAAAGCACTGAGAAAAGCAAAAAAAGAATTGTAAAGAATGGTAAGATAGAAGTATACCAACTCATAACCCTCACCACCAAAAAGATGGTGAAGAGAACTTTTCTGGGTGCACTTTCCTAAGTGTGCAACAAAACTGATACCAGTAGATACACACCAACACAGTAGAATGAAGACCATTAATTATGGTTCTGGGTGCCTCTAGTAAAAAAGTTGAGCTATATAAACTGGACCAGGTTTTGTCAGGATGAAGAATGACCTTTTCTACAAAAAATTTAGTATGATACTGCAGGTTAGCATAGATCTTATACACAAACCTTGAAAAATTTCACAGGAAAAAGCATTGTTCCTGAGGCCAATAGGCCAGTATGCATATGGAGGTGTATCATCCTTGGTATTCTTTGATGACTCTGTTTTCATATTTCAATTAATATTTTGCTATTAAAGTTTGCTAGTATTTTATACACCACTTCTAATAGTACTAAACTCTATTACTACTATTTACTATTAGTACTATTTTCTCACTCAGTGTTGTTGTCATTTTAATAGATTGGACAAACGAGTAAGTATCTCTATTTTGAAACAATAAAGTTGGAATTCAACTATTCTTCTGAGAGATGATCATATAAAAGTGGGATGATCACTTTAAATTGTAAAGATAGGCAATATCTGGCTTAGAGTAAAGAGTTTCTATCTAGATTTTGTTTTAGTACTAGGGTAAATGAAAATTTTAAGCCAAAAATATAAAAACAAGTATTTTCCATATACACACAGCTTCATACAATAAATATAATATAATCATTGTAAATAAGAAAGCCACTACTAGTTATAATGAGCATGTGTTAACTTCTTTAAAACCCTTTTTATAAAATGTAGATGTGAACACTATCAGAACTATCTTATAGAATCCATTCAATTGTATACAAAAACATTCAGGCAACATGTGCAAGTAATTACGAAGCACCATTGAAAATTAAAGAGATATTAGAACTACTTAACATAAAACCACAGAAAATTTATATATGCGCTTAGACACCTCTAAAGATTTAAGGAAAAAAGTATCTACAAGTAGTTTAAATATATGTATTAAAAGAGGGACTACAAATAAGTGTATATACTCAAACCTGATCTATGAACAATTAAGAAAATGTTTCTTTATTTGTTTTGTCTATTCTGATATCATCCAATGATTTATCGAACACAGCACATTTAAAATACAACATATATAGTAATCATAGACATATAATACTCATGGCACAGATTTTGATTTAGTTTCACAACAATAAAAATAATTGAAAACAGAAAAAAACCTAGATTACATAAATAATAAGTCACAGAGATTAGGTAGGAACATTAAAGGACAACATTATTTTATCTTTTGTGTTGATTATGACAAAAAACCGAGCAAACTACATAATTACAGAAGGATCAGTTGTTTCAAACCATCTTAACTGGATGAACTATGTAGAGATTCTAAGTATTAAGCCTAATCAATTCATTTAAAATAAACTGATGGTATTTTTTTTAAGCAGTTTTAATTTTATAAATATTACAAAAATTAATTTGAAATAAAATAGTTTAAGATAATTAAACTTACCTTAAAGAGTTCTTTGAAAAAATGGACTACAGGCTGATAAAACAACCTTATGTGCCTGTAGCTTTTGCCCTTCACAGGCAATTGTAACATCAGTAAAATCTTCATCATCTCGTAAAGTCTCAAATTGCGAAGTTATATTTGCCTGAAAATTATTCCATTTCAAACAAAATTGTTGATCATCTGTTACAGCCATTACTTTTTCTGAAATAACAAGATTAATTTAATAATATACAAAGGTAGTTACAAAGTAATTCGCCGCAAAAAGAGACATTTCAGACATAAAAATAAACTACTGTCTTGCCTTTTAATTTTAATCAATATTAGTATTTCTTTTGACCAACCAAGAAAAAGGGCTTTTCCCTGTTTTGTCTGGGAAATTTGGAAGTTTTTCTTCGAATTTTTTAAAACTCCTGATCATTTTATGTTCACATGATACCAGCAAATAATATATTTTTGACATTTTACATTTTACAATAACAAAAATTATTTTAGTAAATTTTGATTTTATTAACATTACATGTGACATTCATTTAAAAATTATTCTTTTTGTGTTATAGAAACCCACTATTTTAGCAATATGTTATTTTATTAATAAAAATTTTAATATCTGTTAAGTTACATAAATTTAAACAACAATAAAATGTTAATTCAAAATATAAAAGAATCATTGTACTGCAATTTAAATCTAGTTATTTATTCTGAGCAAGGTATCGGTTGGCAATGCGTGTCACACAATTCACTGTCAAATATTCTACTTCTACGCCCAATTGTAGGCAACTATTCATTCAGGCAAATAAAATAAAGTTCGATTGAAAATAAAAATTTATATTTTTTTATTGTCAATTTGACACATTTCTTTATTCTTGTTATTATCCTTATATTTTTGATTATAGCTTGTATAAAATAAAATAAATATGTCTCGGAAATCGAAAGGTAATTAAAATTGAAAATACTAATTTAAAATTATTGATCGATATTTATGTTTCATTTAGATTTAACAAGCTCTAAAAGGAGACGTAGAAAGAGTGAAATTTCTAGTTCAATGGAAACTGAATTTATAGAACTAGAAATCCGAAAATTTTGTCCTAAGCGAATATTTGACGTTATTCTTATAAATGGAAACGATGAAGTGTCTACGAATACTCTAAAGAACATTATAGAAACGGCAAAAAGTTTCGAAATGATGATTTCTTTAACTTTTATACCATATGCAGATGTTTTAAATGTATTACAGAATTTTGATGATAGTGTTTTACCAGACAACACGAAGAGTCTCATAAATGAGTTAATAGATGATATCAATAAAACCTTTAACTATTTAAAACCAGAAAATTATCCAGCTTCCAGGTAAATATAATAATAATTAGAGTAAACTTAGTTTGATAGCCATAAGTAGTAGGGAGTTTAGAAAGTTTACCGCTTTTTTTCCCTGCTGCGTTCTGTTTTCGATGTCTCTTTTGGTAGTGCCTTCTTTAGATATTATAGATCCAAGATATTTATATTCATTACATGTTTTTGTGTTTCTAATTTCTAACTCTGGATCTTCTTCATTATCCTCCTATTTTAAGATACTCTGTATTTGACATATTCATATTCAGCCCCCACCTATACTTTACTATAGGTAAATTTGTATAAGTATATATAAAAAAAACATCAGAGGACAAAAAAATCACAAAAAACAAAACGGCTTCGGCCACCAAAAAAATCAAAAAAATACTAACAAAAACCGGCTTCGGCCACCAAAAAAATTAACAAAAACCCCAAAACCCGGGCACGTAGGGCCCAACCCCCTTGAGCACCAAGTCGCCGAACTGAGCCGGGACTCAGAGCGGAGACTTGAGGCCCAAGTAAGCAATTTTAGTTCGCGGATAAGCTACATTAAGATAAACAGGAATAAAGCGGAGATGCGCTGTCCTGAGTTTTCACATACGGTTAGGAAACCATGTTGGGGTTCAATTACCCAGACCTCCACATGAAGAGCACTTGGCTGATTGTTGTGCCTCTATAGCGAATCAGATTGCTATAGGGTGGAAAGGGATGGTCTAGAGCATTGGAGCACGGTGGGGTGATTCCTGTTTTTAAACACGAATTAAAACAACTTGCTCCAATGAATTGTTACACCCGATCGTACTACCTGGGTGAACATTTCTCATAGGCTGGGTTCAATCAAATTGCTTGAGAGGATGTCCAAAGCTCGGTGCGGTAACAATTAACGCGGTTCAACCCGGAAGCCTGCTTGTAAAAGTATTAATCTTAGCTTGAGGTTTAATTGTACTAACTTAATGTAGTTATTTTTTTTATTATTTCTCAGGTTAGCAATGTTAATGAAAATTAAATTAATTGAGGTAATGTGTCGTCATCGAAAAAAAGAACTGGAGAAGTTAGAACAAAGATCTAATTTAAATAAGGCATTAGAAATATTGACAAAGGAATGCAGAAAAGGAACTAAAGATAACCATTTGGACGTTAGAGATAAAAAAAGCTTAAAAGATGTTCAAACTTCAAGCGGTTTCTTAAATACAGAAAGTGAGGTTGTTTTTGACGACGATATATTTAACCATGTATCTTTTTATGTATTTGAAGGAGTTTTTAATGTTAAGGTAATGATCCCATTTTATATTATACAGGGCGCGCTACTATTTCGAAGCACGATATATCCGTTATCGCAAAAGATTCCAAAAAAACTTAACAAATATGTATCATCTATTTTCTTTAGACACTGAGACATAGCAGATTCGGCAGCTATCACTCGACAGTGTTAGATGAATAACCCTTTTCTTCTTCTTCGTATGCCTCAATATTACTAGATAGAGTTTTCAGTGCTTCGATGTTACGTGTTCTCTACTCTTCTTTATGGTCTGGAAGCTTGGACACTAAAACAAGTTCATCTGAATAAGCTGGCCGCCTTTGAATTTTGGTGTTACAGAAGAATCCTACGAATATCATGGATTCAAAGAATGTCAAACATGGAAGTAACTAGAAGGATAGGAAATGAGGCGGAAATAATATTAACTATTAAAAGACGAAAACTTGAGTACTTGGGACATATGATGAGAGGGCAAAAATACGCATTATTACAACTTATTATGCAGGGCAAAATCCGAGAAAAGCGAAATGTGGGAAGACGAAGAATATCCTGGCTTAAGAACTTAAGGGAATGGTTTGAATGCAGTAGTGCAGAACTTTTTAGAGCGGCAGTCAACAGAGTCCGCATAGCCATGATGATTTCCAACCTTCGATAGAAGATGGAACTTAAAGAAGAAGAAGAGTTTTCAGGCTTCAGTTTTCTAAAAGGTCCATCTCTCCTCCCTTTACCCTATGTATTGTATTTTTTTGTTTACCGACGTATATTTTTTAGACTCTTATAAACTTTGTGAATTTTACAAGACAATCCATAACAGCCGTAATAAAATTTAAAGATGATACCAGACCCCAGATTGATAATTCCCAAGCATATTCGCATAGAAGGTTTTGGGCAGACCTAGACGACTATCTCTACGGCCACGTTCGTTCGGAACCACTAGAAAATACAATGTTAATGGCTTATAACGTGAATGACGATAATGATACTGCAATCTTTGAAGATCTGTGGCACATGATCAAAACTATATCTGATATAAAGCTACAGCACTTAAATTATATCAGACACTTAAAAATGTATAATAAAGCGAAGGAATATGATTATTTGCCATTGCAATGTTTAAATACTTATAATAAAATTATGCATAATATTCCTTTGGATTTGTCTAACGAAGTAGTTGTTTTAAGTGGTATATTGGAGGAAGTTTGTGTAAGAGCAGATGATAGTAATATAAATGATAGATACAGTCTCAAAGATATTACGTCTAAAATTTCAATTCCATATTCAGCTAGAACTTGTGTTGATCCTCGCAATGTTGAAGATCAATATACAAAACCTATAGGTAAGTAAATCATTTAACTTATCGATTGTTTTTGGTGAAAATATACGAGCTCCTTCCCATATGAGTTGGCCCAACGTTAGATTGATAAGAAAATTAAATTTTAGAGAACAAAAATAAAAGCGCACCGAAAATTTTAGAAGTTTTAATGCATCGAACAACATTTTCGAATTTCCTAATTATAGAAAATATTTTATAACGTAAAGCAAGCTATTGATTAAACAGAATAATAAAAAATTAAAAAAAACGCATAGCATATCTAATATTAACAAAAGAAAAGTGAAAGTTTGTAACAAATATATTTGACTACCACATGGGGTATTACTACAGGGGTAGAAAATTGGGAACTGAAACTATGGGGTTAAAGATAGGTCAAGCAAAATAAATCGATACTTATGCGAACGGCACTCAGGGTTTGTTGGGAGAGCTGGGGTCGTGGATAAATAAATGGTAAGGGGTCGGATTGGGGCAACTACAAAAAATGAAACAAAGGAGTACTAACATGAATCTCTTGGGACAAACAAAACAAGACACAGGAAGGAAACACCTCTAACAATTTAAAAAGGACGCCGCTTTGAGGTGCCAAATTATAACGATTACAACAATTAGTTGTGTTGAAATATTTATTGGAAATAAAAAAATATATCTTTTTACATGAAACTCAAATAAAAGGGGTTAGTGAGAGAAATAAACAAAACGGTTAGAAAAAAATTAAAAGATTTATTGTGTCTCACCACAAATAGTTACAAAAATAAGTGGCACAAATAAAAAACACTATATTAATAGTTACATAAGTAAATACAAAAATAAATTATTACAAATAAGAAATTTTCTTTTTAAATGAAATTATGTTGAGAGGTTAACCTTATTTAAAAATCCAAAATAAATTATGTATATAATAACGGATTGATTACGCCTGTCGCCGCTTCTCCGCCCCCAATTTCCATCTTTTTCTGTCATACTCAGTTGCCTCTTCTAAGTCTCGTGTCGCCATTGCTTCATCAATATCGTTGCGCCAACTTCTCCGTGCTCGTCCTCTCTTCTTTCAGGAGGGATCCATTCCAGTACTCTTCTAGGCCTTCTGTACTCTGGCATTCTTTTAACATGTCCGAACCAGATTAATTGTTTTCTTTCTATGTCATCATTGATATTTGGCTCCATTTTCATTTCGTTTCTTATTTGTTCGTTCCTAACTCTTTGTAGTTTCGATCTACCACAGCTTCGTCTCAGATAATCCATTTCTGTCATCATAAGTTTGTTTTTATTAGCTTTGGTGACGTCCCATACTTCCGAACCGTAAAGTGTAATACTTTGGACTATACTACCGTAAATGTGTTTTTGGTTTCTCGTCGAATTGTTTTTTGCCAGAGAAGAGAGTTTAAGGCACGGTCGCTGCTCTACCCTTATTTATTCTTTCCCTGATTTCATCTGCGCTATTCCCCTTCTTATTGAAAATGACCCCCAAATATTTGCAGGATTGTACGCCTTTGATTTTATCGTCTTCCAAGACTGGGTCACATATTTCATATGTTCCCACTGATAGATATTCACATTTTGTCATATTCATGTTTAGACCTCCCACCTCATATTCTTCTTGCAGTTTTCTTACCATATAG